CATTCCTATACAAAATATTTGGTAATACCTCATTGCCAGGTACAGTCTGTCTTGAAGCTGAATGTGTAGCAGGCATTGATGGCAAAAACGTAGTTGGGGTATATGGTTGGTATACGCATCAGTTTACGGACATTCATACGCAGCATTCACATCTGGTGACAAAGCTACTACATAGGCGTGGATGAGTGCTCTTTCAGTGTAAAAGCACCTCTGTGCCCACATGTCATGTGAAGTAAGTGTCTTACAGTTGGAATGGGAAGCTAAGACATGATATTGTAAAAACATATATCTGTAATTCGTTATTTCATCAGTATCTTTTCTCTAACTTCAGTGTTGTTGCTCCTGACTTACACCTGCAAAAGTGAAAGCAGAAGAAGGAACTCTGCGTGCCTGTAATGGTATGTATATATAGGAAATGTATATCAAATATAGCCACACATATCAGGCCAAATTGGCCTAGGTACAAGCGTTCATTGTTCCATCTAATTGCTTTTATAAGAAATGTGTATGCTTGCATACACTTGAGAATGGAGAACGTGTAACTGTATGACAAGACTGCTAGTCTTGTTGGTTATATGACTGTGTTTATTGCAGAATATCCATTTATTATGCAGAGTGGAAGTATTTATACATTATGTTAATAAGATGGGCTATTTTTATGAATGTTGCCCAGGAAGTATTGCAGCGCCGATGACAGATTTTTATGCAGCTGCAAAAATTTCTTTTTTGCCCAATCTTAAAGTACAAGGGTGTTCAAGGAGAGGAATGAACTATTTGGAAGAGGAAGTTAAGTAGAAGCTTTAAAAAAAGTATTTTTTTTAATATCAGCTGCATTTGGGGTTAAGATCTATTTGTCATAGAAGTTTTTATTCTAACTGAAGTTACAGTATCTGCAGCAGAACCCGCCATGGAGAAAGCTCTTGGTGGACTTTACTGCACTCTGCAAAGTGCTGCAGTCTCTGGTCTCCATTCAGCAAAACACCATTTTTTTTAACCTTAAGATTAGTTCCACTGAAATAAACATAACTTCAAGTACATGGTGAAATGACTTGTTGAATAGGAAGCCAGGGTTCTCAGCACCTTTGTGGGGCTCGGTCCCTCATTAAACAGCAAGTGCCAGGAAAAAAGAAGGCTACAAATTTCGACTGGCTGGTTTAATTCAGCTCAGTGCTTTAAATACAATTAAGTAAGTGCAACACTTATGAGTAGAGCCACAAAATCTACAAGAGGACATCTGTGCAAGCAAAATGGGATTTTTTTTTTTATATGTAAGAGAGGGACAATTGGATATTTTCCAGACAGTTTAAAAAGATGAAAAATGTGCATGAGGAGACTTTCCCCACACATATTTCTAGCTAGTGCTTTTCTCAAGTGTACATCCTACTTTTGTAAATAACTAAAACTTAAAAAAGAAAGAAAGAAAATTTAAATACATTGTAACTTGTTTATGCAGAGAGAGGAGGGGTTGCTTAACAAAAAGTGGGGCTTTATTGGGTAGGGAGAGAAAACATTTATTTAGAGAAGAGCCAACAATACCTTTTTTCTATACATGAAATGCAATTCATACTTCACAGACTATATTACAAGGGTGTTCCTTCTATCTTTCACATACCTGCTCGCCTGCCTAGTGACACAAACAAGGCACGCCATGATGTCAATACCAGCAGCACCCTTGCAGGTGGAAACATTCTACTGTTTACCGCCAAAGCAGCTCAGAACCCTCTGGCTGGGGGGTTCTGTCCCACCCCAGCTGTCTGTGAAGGCATCTGAGATGGGCCCCTCCATCTTTAGTTGAATTTAGTCTTCCCAAAAGTGTCAAATCATATCAGGAAGTCAAAAAAAAATCTGGTGTAAGAGCCCTACACTCAGGGTGTTAAGAGAGAAGGCTTGGCCACACCTGCCTGTTGTGTCCTCGTCCACGTGGTGCATCCTGCTCCTGGTTAACAGTTTTGGCAAGGGAGGTTTGCAAGAAGCATCAAGTAAGGAAAGGGCTTTCAGCTACGTGACTACAAAAGCTCCAAGTTATATTACTACAGATTTTTGGTGAGCCAAGATTTTCGGTAAAGATTTTAGTACTTATTTTAGAAAACCGAGTTGCAATGCATGCTATCAAAATGAAAAATCTTTTCTTCTGGGAGAAGATAGCTGAACTTTTTGATTCTCTTGTTACTTTTACTGTCCAGCTGATTTGTGCTTTGTTGCTGTCGTGGCTCATGCAGCTCCAGTAATGCAGCTGTTGAGGCTCAATCTGTGCCAGAGGAGTTTTAACTCATGTGGAAACGATGCTCCCCTCGAGTTATGTGGGAAGAGAATTCGTACCTGTCCTGGCTATGGTAGCCACACATGTTGCATTCAAAAGGATCACGGAACCCGTGGCAGCCCATATGGATAGTATACATCACGTGATCCAAGAAAAGGACTCGACAATGTTCGCACTTGTAAACTTTTACTTGCTCCCCATTGCTGCTGATCACTTTGAAAGCATCCTGGGAATTGTCAGTACCTGCCCTCAAGACGTCGTATTGCCTGTTTTCTTCTTTTATAGAGATGCCATTTCTTGCATGGGGTCCTATGTGGTTTGTCAGGTAAATTAAACCACTGCGTTCCTCGTTATTGCTCTCTGTATCTGTTGAGTCTTGGCAGCTGTTGCTGGGAGAGGCATCTCGTTCGGAGGAGACAGATTTGGCTTTGGAAAGCAGCAACAAGTTTTCCACTGCGCTGTCCTGAGCTGTATGGTTGGAGCGAGCCTGGTTGTCCCCGAGAGGTTTGTGGAGCTGATACATGGGGCTGATGACGGGCACCACCTCAGAACCACCTGGTGGTGTCTGGACAAGGGGACGCAAGGACTCTGCCCCCAGGTAACTGATGGCGTTATTAATGGCCTGGTCTATAACATGTGTCTGCATTATCTCATTCTCCTTCTCGTAGTTGGTGGTGGCATCGTATGGAAGATCTGGCAGACATTTCTCACCTGCAGTGAAAAACAGCCAGGAGTTAGAGGGCTGTTTTCTACATAACTGAGGAACTGAACATCATGGATTAATAAAACAGCAACATGGAAGAAAAGAGCTGATCAAATCCACCTCTGAAATTCACCTGAGGTATTATTCATAGTACTCTAATACAGCTGGTCAGAAGAATGGTTGGTTGGTGGGGTTTTTTTACCCTACAATATAATTTGAGGTCTTTGGAAAAGCAAATGGATGAAAACAGATTCTGGAAATAATTATGTGGGGACTCGTGGGAGCTACAGGTCGAGTGCTTTATCCTCTCTTTCTCCTTTCTAACTGGAGTTCCTCATCTGCCTCCCACAATGAGCTGAGACCCGCCTTTGTGGGTAGTGAAGGCAGCCTACCAGCACCGTTTCAGCGAGCCTGGCCTTTGTGCTTCAGAGCATGATGCGTGTTATCAATATTTTCCCCTAAAATATTACAATTTTAGACTGGACATTGTATGTTTTGGTTTTAGACCTTCAGTTTCTTACAAATAACCCAAATCAGCAATGTGGTCATATGTCATTTTGGAGAAAAATCAACCAAAACAACTTTTCACATTGCCACCATCCCCCCACCCCCGCCCGGTTTTTTAAATAAGCCATGTTAGACACGTTAGCAGAAGCTATTCATGTTCCTAGAAATTTTGTGTCAAAAAGTTATCATCTACAGGAGCAGCTAAGAACTACAGAAAAAATTTAAGCTCGTTTGTAGCTGGAGTATATATATATATATAAGGTAAAAAGCCTTATATAGAGAAAGATTACTTGTTACTTGTAACTTCGACTCCAATTTGGGGGGCCAAAAATAAGGGGAGACTCAATTTTTTTAAAACCAGACTGCACTAATGTATCTCTAGCCGAATACCCTAGTGTTTAACACTGAGTTTCACTGCAATGTCTCAAAATTCCTGGACAGATAGGACTAAGCAAAACATAGAAGGTAAAAGATAGGAGTGGGAGAAACTACTTAAATGCACAAATGCTGATTTTATGAACCTGAACATTCTTCTCAAACAGTGTAAACCATCAACATTATTATTGGGCCCCTAATACGTTTGTGCAAATGCAAAGAAGTAAAAAATTCCCACAGTTCCTAGGGACTACCAATAACACATTGTTTACAGTCTGGATGGATTTTCTAGCTCTGCAGATCTTGGGAAATTCACTGAAACCACAAATATCTCTATGAGGTGCTGTCACCGTTTCCTAATCAACGTGACATATGCTGGCAGGCCTTGGAAAGTCCTAATATGTCTAAAAGAAATGCTAATAGGAGCATGGAAAATTTACCAGAAGATCTGCAAATTAATTTATCAACAATTTCCCACCCCGTTTCTACTCAAATTGACTATTCAAAGTCAGTGAAGGGCCCAGAAAACTTCGAGCATGACACTATTGCAATGATGAGGCTAAAGTGTAGAAAGTCCTGCTGTCTACATTTTCCACAAGATCTGATTTCATGCTAGTTTGTCCCTGCCCTGCAAGCTGAGGAAGGAACACTCTGAGTTCCTATAAGGGATGTAGGGTACAGACACTTTCTAGCTGCACTGCATGAGCTTCTGCTTCCTTTTCCTATTATTCTGTCAATTTAAACATCCCTCTGCTAGGGTGCATTCTTTTTTCTTCCAGATTTATCCTTTTTAATGCTATAGTTTTCAGGCAGAGTGTGAGGCTTAAGATTTAGAATAGGCGTTGTGAAAGACTCTTGAATTAAATACAGAAAAACTCTCCTAATATGAATGTATACCCTGGACACAAAAAGGAAAAAATGAGATCAAAATTGTTTATATTCCATGGGCACTGTATACCACTGAAAAGTGGGACTGGTCTTCATTATACTCAAAATTTTGGGCATCCAGAAGGCATGATTTTAATAACTGTTTCCTGGGTAGTATTTGCTTTATGTAGCATAACTAGTTGGTACTTGGACTGAGAGGATCAAGTGCTCAGAAGAAAAATTTGTTTCCAAGCAGAGTGCCTGAAACAGACACAAACTTGAGGAAGGCAGGTATCATTTCTGTATCTGGGCAATGCAGGTAATACTTGCACTCATTAAAAATAATAGCTCATTTCCGTGGTTATTAGAGCATAAGTAAATTAAACTGCTAATGGGTTGATGCACTTCAAGCTTTGCACTGCTCAAGGTTCTGCAGCAGGTACCTAAATAGTAAAAATGCACTCAGTGCATGCCGGCACTTTTTTTAATTCCCCCCCCCCTTTTTTTTTTTGGATGTGTGTGTGGGTTTGTTTTTTTTTTTGTTTTTCATTTTTAACTCCTCTTTCTTTTCTGCCTATTGTTTTAACATGATAAACATGTGTCAACCTTGCCTGCAGTTCATGCTGTCTGATTTGGATGGTCCAGTTCTGCTTTCAGGTCTGGGAGCTATTCCAGTTTGGAATACAGAGAGAATTTCACAGATAACTGGATTAATTTGGTGAACAATCTCACTTTTGAAAGGTAATGAATTTAGCCTTGAGAAAAAGGAGTGAAGTGGCACACAGTCTTTCCCTTATGCAAAGGATGCCATTTGCTCCTTCTCCCTGGAATTCAGCACGGGGAATGGGATGACACGGTAATCTACAGGAGCAATAAACATGTTTTATTACCCAAAAGCTCTCCTGACCAGCCGGCCCAACCTTGTGTTAATCAGAAATGTACCTATTACATGGAGCAGCAGGTGAGGATTGGAAAGGAACGGATTTGGGGGCATTTTCTTGTCAGAAAAATGTGTCCTTTTGAAGGTTAGTAGATTTCCATAAATATCTCCTGTCAGTAGGTTGTCTTCCTACACCGCACCCTGAATAACTAACTGACAGGAAACTCTGCCCTCCTAAAAATCTTAGTTAACTGGCTGTCTTTACTGTTTCTCAGGGTGAAGAGAGAAAAGGAGAACAAAAAAGCTAGTCAACACCCACAGATACATCACGTATAGGATACTTGCTAGTACCTTTTAAACTTTAACATTTCTAGTCTTCCTGGAGCTTTCACAGAATTAGTATTTTGCCAAATGTGATTGGTTACTAGAGTGTCTAAACGAATCAGGTTTGCCTCAAATAGTTGATACATTTTTGGTAACTACCTCTACTACAACTTTTGTCCTTTTATAAGCATTAGCATTTCTTATCCTTGACTACCTCCTGGAATTGTTGCCTTTGGACTTGAAAACAATCTTGGACTCTCATTTCAAACCTTTTGTTGTACCTCCTGATATAGCTGAGATTCCCCTTTCCTTGTCTCAGAAATACTAATTTTCCTTTCACCCTTGTGTCCTTATTGAAGAAGGTATATTTGGAATTTCTGTCCCATAGACAGGTCTTTTTTTGCCTTGACTTTTGACTGAAGACCTTCTTGATGTGTCTTTTGTTTCAGAGACTTTAGTTTTATCTGATTGTCTCCTATAGAATAATATTATAAATGAATGTGCAGAGAATTATAAAAGAATCTAACTAGATATGAGCATATGCTGTCCTCTGATCTCCCATGTTTTTATTTATTTAAGACTAACACTACATACCTGACAAAATATTGTCTGTGGGTCTAACAAAACTGATGTAACCACTACTTGGTACCAGCTTACCAAACAGAACAATATAGGTGTAGCCTCCATTTTTTTCATTGTTAAGACAAAAACTACCTGGTGCAAATGGGCATGAAGTTTTTGCATCATTTATAGAATGTACCCTAAAATCTTTTAATTTAGATATTATTCTCAGACATATGTTTATTTATTTCCATAATCATTTTGGGCTGTAAAAGTATACAGACTTTATGAAGGAGTGAAGAATATTATCCAGCCTATGCTCAACTATTCACAAATGCTTTCACAAACACCAACATGCCTAGATCTGGATGTTATCCAAGAAGTTAATAAAATAACCCTGAAAGTGTGTTCAAATGCTTTCCCAATAGGAAACTTCTATTCCTATCTTCAGGTTCTTAAGGCAGCTTCAAGAGCTTGTCCAGATCTTGTAATGATCTGGTTCATAAGCATTACAAAAAGACAGGAAAAAGACTTAAAATCGATCTCCAGATGTGGACAATTAAACATGCAGAAATGTATGCTGGAGAAGCTTGGTGTTTTGTTTTGTTTTGTTTTTTTTTTTCCTCAACACATCACTGTATCTGCTTCTATAGAGATATTGCTAATTTAGTAAAACAAGTAAAATCATAAAGCAAAAGTAAAAATCCTGTGAGATGTTGTTTCGGGTTTTGTTTTGTTTTATTTTTTAGGAGACAGCAAACGTTTAACTCTTACCAACAAATTTCTGAGGCATAGAGCTCTTACGTTTGGCGACGTTACTTGCTAGTCTATCCAGCACGAGGGATCTTTCTGACCCTATCTTGCACAGGTCTTCAGCCATTTCACTCTGGTTAGTTTCCTCTTTTATGACTGAAATCAAATGACATCAGAAGGGTTAGGCACACTTGTTCCATTTTAATGGAACTATTGTCTTCAGGTTATTGTTTCTCAGCTAATGTCTTTTAGCTCCTAACCAGCTGGAAGGGAGAGCTCACCACTGCAGCCACAGGACAATTCTGACTCTTGGCAACAAAGTCCCTCACGCTGATTAATCTATGTACGTGTTCATGTTTCCCTCATTTAGGATACGAAAATGAGATTGCAACTGCAAGGCATCTGCCTGTATGTAACATAATCACTCCACCCTTGTTCTACAGCCACACTGCATTTCCATGAATAAATGAGGTCCTAACATTATACTGGACACAGAGCTGTTCATCTTTTCACCCTCCCGCTGTAAACCCCACGGTCCCTCGGCACCTCTCCCAGTGGAACTGCCTCTATGATCGTTGCTCCTTTAGCAGGAAAACGCACAAACTTCTCAATTCCAGCACTGGAAGACGTATTCGCAAGCTACACCAACCCTTCTCCCTACCCCCTGTTTTCCCCCTAGTAAATATTTCTATACTTCCTTGATGCAATTTCAGACTTTAAATAATAATTTAAGTTGCTAAAGCCACATCTATAGTGGAGCACTGATTTCCAATACTCAATCTGTTTCCCAACCTCCTGCTGCCGCTGAGAAAGGAGCTTAGCTGTGAGGTTCTAGGAAAGGAAGACTATTTCACTTTCACTGCATTTTACTTCAGTACTTTCCTGCAGAAACAGAAGGGATGTATGAAAATGCACTGTCAAAACAATGACTATGAAAAATGTATGGAAAGGTATTTCTGACTTCCAACATCTAAAGGAAAGGTGACATGCAACAAGATCACAGCACAACTAGTTTTTTTTTTTTTCTTTTTCGGCAAGGGAGGTCAGAGACAGGAGAGAAAGGGGTTAATTTTACTTTTACCTGGTACTAGGATATGGATATTTTTCCTGAACTTGTGAGTTGCTATTAAAGGGAGAAGCAAAAGTGATTTTTAGACTTTGACTCTGCAAGTTATTTCAATTAGGTGCACCACTCTGCTACATTTTGCCTTCTGTGCCTGCTGAGAATTTGTTTTATCACTGGATTTACTGGTTCACAGAACCTATTACTCTGGTACCTGAGTGTTTCTTAATAGTTGAGAAAATGCCATTCCTATGCAAAGTTATTTTGGCAATATACCACTGCCATAAAAGGATGATTGTGAAAGTTTCATTGTTCCTGAAAGATGCAAAACTAGGGTCTGGTGGATAACTGAAGGAGCAGGTGAAGTGTCCTAGACAACAATGCTCCACGATACCAAACTGAAGTGTAAAAAGCTGCTTCTTGAGTCCCTGCTGCAGCAGCACATGCTGCAGGGACATTGACAAGGTGTTTCATGGAATTATGCCCCAGCCCCACAAGACACTAAAGATTGTGACCAGTGCAAGATATGAGCAGAATTTGGTCATGAAGGTGAAGAAGAGTAAAGGGCATTGATGGTACCTAGTTGTCACTGAACAAGCACATGCCAGCATCTTGTGCCGGCTAAGGCTTCCAGATCCCACTTCAGGAAGAGACTTACAGAGAATGTTTTAAAGGAGTCCGTTCATCAGGGAAACAGAAGATTGAATTTTTAGTTAAAAGTTGAAATGATCAAGAAGTATCTGCTTAGGATATAATAACATTCAATTTCTAATCAATTCAAGAGAGGGTAAGTTGTGTATTCAACTTTCAAAGTTTTAAAACTGCTACTAAAAAAAAAAAAAAGGGCAAATTGAATTATGTACTAATCTCTAGTCTTTGCAACTGAACCCCCCTGAAATTTGCTACCAACCTCATAATTATTTTTCTGTAATTTGGTGTCTCTGAACTGAAAAAAAAAATCATTTTATCTTTCCAAATGAAAATCCACAAGTGATTGAAGAATTGTAATTGACTCTTTTTAAACTTCATAAACTATTTCTTCTGTTATTTTATATAGGCCTGCTAAGGCTTCAGCACACTTCCATTCAGCTCAGATGCAAAACTCCAAATAATATCTCTAAGAGAAAACTTCACATGGTCTGTGAGATTCTAGTCCTCTAAAATAAGAATTTTGCCATTAAATTCAGCAAGTTCCTAATTTCGTGCTGTATCTCCTTCTCTTAAAGAAAGCAAACAAAAGTTAAAATATAAATACAATCTCTTGGTCCCCTCCTTAATCCTCTCTGCTGAATCTTTCCCTTATTTAAGTACTTTCTTAATTACATTTGTTAGATTTACAAGCTGATGGAAAGCTTCTACCAGTTTAGATCCTTTCAACTGACATTTTTAGTATGTATACTGCACAAAGTATTTTAAAAATGCTGTAAAAAGCCATCCCACTGTAGCAGAATGTCAAATCAGATACCCTGGCAGATTTTTGTACCAACTCTTTTGAGTCTGGAAAAAAAAGAGGGTCTGAATTATGGCTCTAATAGCTCCATATCACACCATGAAATATCATAAGAACAGCAGTAGTACAGCTACTTGCTTTTCTAGATGTAATGTAGAATGCACTAACATACTCAGGTTCTGTCCAGATATGAAATATTAAATGAGGCAGCATTCCAAATAGGTCAGAGAGAACCTGCCATTTTTGTCATTTGGCAAACCAAATAACATACACTGACAGGATCAAAAAGGTATGCAAGAAATGTAACTTACTGGATAGGCTTAAACTCCACCACAGATCTTATATTCTCTATCTAAATCTGCACATGCAAGGGGATTTTGTATGGTTATTTACTGTGATCAATCCCATACAGATCTTTAGGATCTTTGTTGAAAAAAAATCCAAACCCCAATATCTGCTTGCTATATTTCTGGGCATAGTTTTAGATTTGATATTCTCCAAGAAATGGACTTTACCTTCATCATAAGATTGGTCTCTCAGAGAAGCACAACAGCTCCTCACCTCCCCCAGTTTTCCTTTAAAGGAGGTTGGGAAGAAGGCTGTCAACAAATTATTAGCCTTTCTGGCTAATCTTTCAGTCTCAGTCAAACTGGAAAATGAAATGTCTTTGGCTTCTTGTCCTCTTGCTTGGAAGAGTGAGATCAAAGAGAGATGGCTCATCCTTGTTAGATGAGTTGGTCCCAGTGGTCAAGTAAGGCCCTTAAGCTGTGCCTGGGAAAGGCAGGAGGTGTGCAAGGCAGAAGATTCTGCAGCCCTACCTAGAACACTGATATTAAGTCTTTATTACAAATACATGCACAAGAGTACTGTGATATAGGACTCCAAGCAAAAGGGAAAGGTGGTGAGATGATGCAGTCATACTGTCTTGAGATGGTGAACTGAAATTTTCCACCTCTTGCAAGTGTTTTGCTACATGCCTGAGTGTAGCTAAACAAAACAGCCAAATATTTATCAAATATAGAATAAATCCAGATGCAATATCATACATATGGGGGGTGTGTGTGTCTCCCCAGTGCAAAAGTTGCCACAAATGGTACTACTGTTCCTTTTGCACTCCTTTTTCTGCGTACGTGACAGGACAGCATTAATCCCCAAACGGACACGTTTATTACCTGAGTAAAGGCTGCTTGAGATATTCATGGTTTGCAGGTAGTTATGACAGCGTTCCTTATGTTCTTCCAAAGAGCTGCGCTGCTTATAGCTGCGACCACAGTATCCACATTTGTGAGGTTTGCCAACTGGAGAAAACACAATTAATTCAGAGACTCAGATGAGGTACTCAACAGCATATTAATAATGGTAAGAACAACAGGAAAAAAGCCCAACCCAAAAATAAACGCAGGCAGTGGTGAACTGAAGAAAGATTTTGTCAACTTAAAAAAAAAACCAACTCCTAAACTAATGGAAAACTAGTTGTATATCTTTACATCAACAGGCCAATTCTGTGGGTGCTGCAAGCTGATTTCAGGTGAATCACATCAGATAAGGACTGTGACATTAAATCTTCAAAACTGGCATCTACACAAGTTAGAAGCCTTCAAAGGTCTGAGTGTAGTTGCTTCAGTGCCTAGCTCCCACAGACACTGCCAATGGGGGAACTGGTGCTATATGTAGAGACTCCTGCCCACGGCTGGATGTCACTTCTGATGTAACCAGCACCAGCTCAACCCTTTCGGGACAATGTTAGATTTCACATGTTTTCTGCTTCTGGAAATTCAAGACAAATGGTATGACAATTTTTTTTTTTTCCGTATTACACCAATCCAGATGTAGGTAGTTCCAGGAATTTGGCAGTAACAATACAGTTTCATGGACTTCGGGACCTGAATTTTCTGTCTTAGCATGACAAGACTGTCACCTTATATGTGATTTCACAATTTTAGATGATTACACAGGTTAGCTTTTGAATTTTATTTACAAATTCTCAGGTGAAAATCAGACTCAGACATCCAACTTGTTTTATAATGTATTGATGTCAATTTGCCAATTGCAGGAACTAATGACAATCTATAGTTTATGCATTGTCTCTTTAGATATGGACTCCTCAGAATTTGCCAAAAGTGTCTAGGTGTAATTTCCTGTATATCTGAAAAATTATTTTTAAAATTGTGCAACCATGAAAATCACTAACAACAAGGGAGACAGAGGCAAAATAGTATTTTAAAGATGTGCTTTCCTGAATTGGACCAGGATCGAACAGGAGAAGTAGAAATTATTTTGGACATCTGGGACCAACACTAAGGATCTTATTATTTAATGTGTGTGCTAGAGAAGAACTTCCTTAGTTTTGTGCAACACAAAAATGTCACTTTGAGAGCTCCTCTTCTGCTACCCAGAACTTGGTTCCAAAGCCAACTTTCCCAAATAAAGTTACCAGTGTCAGTTCCAGCAGTGTGTTTTGGAGGTCTCCTATCCAAATAACAATTTGCATTTCCAGCTTAGTTTGGGAAACTAGATGAGAAAACACTCTGCTTTTAAAGGCACTTTAAAGGTGCTGAATTGGTTTTGCTTCACAGAAGGTATGTGTCTATAGCTTTTGTCAAACAGTGAGAGGTTTGTGGTAATGGAAAAGTGCAGTTATTCAAAAATATTTATTCAGATCTCCATACCGTTGAGACAAAACACTGAAAAACTCTAGCAGAGTCCTCTTTTTTTGAAGATTATTATCTTTCTCTCTCCCACCCTCTCCCTCCTCCCCACCCTTTCTCTTTCAAAGCATTTGTAATAAAAAGGTGCAACAAATAACTGCTGCTAAATGCTGTAGGTGGTATTCACTCCTTAGCTTGAGAATAACTACTAGACTGGAGGTTTTTGAGACTTTGCGAGTTAAAACCTACTGTCTTTAGACCTTATATTATCTCTATATGTGGATAAATGCCATCCAAACCCTAAAACATTCATCAGCTTTAATTCACGTTCATAGTTCCATGAAATGGATTACTCACATGAAGCTTGTGAGATGAAACCCTAATACAGAAATTTCTAATAAGTCAAGAAGTATGGGAAAAAAACAGTTCTTCTGGTGAAGTGTCATGAGTGTGAGATGTGTTTAGTCATTTCTTTGCTGCTAAAACACTGCGGCCAGCTCACAGCTTGGTTAACCCCAACATAGGGCTACTCGCCTCCCCAGGGTGAGAAGACCTCTCAGGCTCGGTGGCCACAAATGCCCCCATCTCCTCAACGGGTGCAGTGACGAGCGTCCCTGGAGGGTCCCACACCTTCACTTACCCGAGTGAGTCCTCAAGTGTCCTGTGAGGGCATCCCTGCGACGGCAGGCGTAGTTACACAGGTGACACTTGAAGGGCTTTTCACCCGAGTGCAACTTTATGTGGCGCAGAAGGTTGCCCTTCTGTGTAAAGGAGGCTCCACACTGATTGCACTGGAAAGGGCGTTCTCCTATGGGGAGAAGGAGAAAATGTGTGAGAACAAAAAATCTTACGCGGTAACAAGAGAAAGATTTCAGTGAGAAAGTTGTTTTCTCACTGCTGTTCTGTGACTTCCACCGGCTGCAGGTTTGATATAACATGAGGCTTTCAGACTAAACCTGCCAGTTTCTTAATGCTTCACTGGCTGGGTCAATTTGATCTGAAAATCTAATTTTTTTTTTCTAAATCAGAATGGCACATCACAATGCAAATTCAAACTCATTTAAATAAAGTGACTGCAACATTTTGTGTTGAAGAGCCACTCTTCCTGATCAGCAGTTTTGGAATAAACCAATATCCAATTTTGCATGTTGTGGCATTTGGTGGGGTTTTTAATGTGGCTTTTTTCAAAGGGTCTTTAAAATATGCCACTGAAGCAGCAAAATAAAAAGGAAACTCATTAAAAATGCATTTCAGGATCACAAGTTCATTTCAGCGTTACATTCTTATATTTAAATGAAAGGCACTTCATTATAACAGTTATAATAACTTCTTTTCATTTACATTTTCCCTGTATTTTCCCTTTCAATTTCTTCTCCATTACCTGTCTGTCCCTAAGCAGCCAAATCAGGAAAGAGACAGAGAAAGAGAGAGAGTGAGTAAAATCACAGAAGTTAAGACAGTGCAAAGGAAGCCCTGTACTTCCATGCCAAAGTCCCAACCCTTCTCTAGGTAAGGTATGAAGAGATGAGCTGTGCAAATGGGCCCTGCTGGTCTGCCCTTTGGACAGACACAGGGAAAATCTTGAAGAGACACAGCCTGGATTTGTCTGAACCGGTGCCTCTTATCAAGGAACCGAACCAACTAGCCTTTGCAAAAATTAATATGGCTGTTGTTTGCTTTTTTGTGCTGATTGAAATCAATACGCTTATTTATTCACTTAGCTATTTTTTAAAAATTTAAGATAGATGAAGGCTTTTCTTAAGTCAGTGCAAAATAAAATACGTTTCCAGTTGTACCAGATAGGAGTGAAGGAAAATTTATACACGATAGCACTCCAGCAGCAGGAACCGCTCCTGCATGCCCATTTCTCCTTGGCCCTCGACTAAGTCAATCCGGCCTTTGAAACTCATTTGCTGAATTCTGTTTCTCTTAGGCATAAATGTAATCTGCCATAGTAATTATAATGCTTCGACAATATTAGAAACAGTCCAGAGATGACCTGTTCTTAGTTTTTATTTTCTTTATATAACAATAATACTGAATTTAAAATATCATTGCTGAAAATAAAATATTAAAAAAAAATACAAGTTAAAGAATTTCTTTCTTCTCTCTCACTTAACTGCCATGTATTATTTTGCACATCTAGGACCAACTTGTATGTCCATACATGTGCATCTGTGTGCAGCATGATAATTTTTGACTTTTGGGTAACACAGTAGAGCAGCTGAAAATCAATTAGACAGCAGCACTGTCCCAACCTCAAAATCTGCAAACTCTACCATCAGGGCTGGCAGCTTTAGCATTCAGCAAACAGTAAAATGACTCTACTTTATGGCAAGATATTTTCATTGGTCAAACAGCTTCAAGCAGGTCAGCATAGTCCCTGTCAAGCCAAATGAGCTCACTTTCTTTGTCCAACAAGTAGCCGTGTTCATCTAAACTATATCTGCAACTGGTTCACCTGGGGCGGCCCACAAAAATGCCAGCATTAGCCTTACAGAATTTTGCAACGTACTTCATAAGCCATGCACAGTAGTTGTTAGGGGAAAAAGAAAACGGGTAAGAGTCTATCTGCTTTACCTCTTAATCTTTGGGGCAGTTACTCAGTGTGGAAGGTATTTTTCAGAAATGGACTGAAACAGTGATGAAGAAGTCTTGTTTGTCACGGGGAACACAAATTGAGAAGAAATGGTTAATTCTTACTAAACAGCTTTTCTAGCATTCATTCTGTTATTTTTACTCAGAGGAGCGTAAGAGGAGAAAACGAGGATTGTAAAAGTACTCCAGGAATAAAATGCAAAGCAAAAAAAGAATGAAATGTATCTCCAGCCTACAGCTCTGCAGTTGCAGGGCAAAATCTTGCACCGGGTGGAGAAGACGGATGGAGCATTTCAAATGAGACTGCTGCATACCAAATATTTCTACAAAAGTTACAGTGGTATCAAATGTAAGGGAACCTGCACTCATGTTACTGTATAAGGGAAATGACACCACCACCAAAAGACCTTAAACTACGTGTAGCTTGGCCAGCCCTTGGTTGTCCATGCTGCAACCACCGGTGTGGGGAACGCCTGGCTTGTGAGCCCAGCAAAGCTCCCAGCCCTGCTAGGATGGAGATGGTTGCTGATGGAAGGTTACTGGATGTGGCACTATCTCCCCAAAACTGGGAAGAGACAGGACGGAAAGAAAAAATGCATAATGCATCTTTTGTTTAAATAGTCAGCTTTGTGTGTTATTTTCTTGCCAGTTCTGAGCAGCACATGCCTATACTGGGTGGATTTCACCGCACGGTGTGTAGCTATGGACAAACACGGGCCCAGGAGCAGAAACTGCAATGGGACCCTGAATTGAATCAAACACCTTTGCAGTGATTTGCAAGCCTTAATGGCAGCACAGGCCCTGGATTACTTATTAAGTGAAAAATACTTATCATCTTAATTGAAATGTTTCTCATTTCTTAAACAATATAATGACAAAGTCACCTAATACTCAGAGATGTGCATTGCTCTCTCCTTTTTTTTTTAATACTCATTCTTCAATGGGCATTAGTTTTCTGAATAAATTTGAGACATTCAGACCCAACTAACAAGACATAAGTGAACTAACTGGTGACTGAAATTAAAGGAGTGTACATATAAGGAGGAAATATATACACCTATGCACACACACACATATATATGCACATATATACGCACATATATACTTATGCACACATCACACACATATGTACACACTGAGCAAGCGAAGTCTGAATCTATACCCTGAGGTCTCAGAACCAGGGAGCAGGAGGGGGTTTCCTCTCTCTTTTCTAGATCTCCTTTTTCCTAAACACCAAGCAAGACAGCAGCAAGCTGGAGAAAATCAAAGTACTGAAAGCCTTAGGGAAGCGGAGTGAGGAGAGTCAGGCATCAGTGTGCGGGATTTGCTCTGCAGGCGAGAGCAACAGGTAAGGTGCGAGAAGCAGCCAGTGCTGTACAGCTGCCTGGAGACAGGAGGGGACTGAAGTACCAGGTGCTGCTCTGCATATCTGCACTTGGCAGGTGTATTCATTAAAAGTAATTATGCCTTTTATCAGGTCAGGCAGTCATTTTATTTTGGCACTTTAGTGTGCTAGAGTTTTGTTCACTTATCAAATATTTATTTAAGGAAACCTCACTGCATATGCAGGTTTTACATGAATTAGCAGCAAAGTAATTCATTTGCGAAGCTTATTCCTTCACCGGGCATGTATTGAAATGGGCTTCGGCACAGTCAGTTAAATGTCTGTAATAGTATATCCCATTTCTACTTTAATTTTCACAGCGCAGCTGAAAGAAAAAGCAGTCACCACTGTTTCTCCATCACATCCCTTTAATTTAAACTACCAGCTCCGAGTCTCCACTCCCTTGTCAGCCCCCGAAAAATTGCCTGAGCTCACCTGAAGACGCTGCTCAGGAGAGGAGCTGAGGGTGAGGTGGGAGGGAAAGCAAAGGCTTTCTTTGCATGGAAGGACTCAGGGGTGCAACTTCACATCCTTCAGTTTTATTAAGTGAAAAAAAGCGAGTCCTGCTCAGCGAAGTGCAGCTTGTGGGGTGCTTCCACTGTAGGTTTTAACTACATTCCCTGATGAAAAAGAGGGTCTGATTGGCAAGGGGAGGGCTCTGCAAAGGGCAGAGAAGTCTTGGAGTGGCAGCCCTTGCATGGTAGCACCCTGAGCACCCTTGGCAGGCACCTGAGTCCCTCTGCCAGGCAGGGAGTTTGGGCAGCTGGAGGTCTGTGCCAGGGAAACCAGCGAGCTGGTCCCAGGGGATGCTGCCACAGGGAACAGGCAGCCCGGCTCATCCTCCGGAGACTCGGCCTGCCGGGTACCAACCAGGGCACTAGAAACAACGGCAGCTCTGCCCGCCGCCCCCCTCAAACCCGGGGTGTCCTCACACAGGCCATTCAGCCCTGGTGCAAACACTGCCTCTAACATTCAGGGACCTGAAACAGCTCCTCCGAAGCAGCAACACCGTACTTTTAATTAAACAGCAGCCTTCTTAAGCACAGAGACTTCTACTTCTAAATGCATTTTAAGTTGCAACAATTTGTTTCAGCTACTACAGCATCCTCTTCAAGCCTATGGGTCTGTTTAAAAAGCCTCATGTCCAAGTCATTTCCCATACACCTTTTATCAACTTTTAAAGGCTCGCATTAGCTTTCGATTAAAAAAAGAGAAAACAATTGACCAACAAACACTTTATTATATCTAGGAAGTAGGCTTCAGCCTCTCTTCTGAGAACTAGTTGTGGCTTTTCCAAAAAAGATAATTATCTGCTCTTCCCTGACAGAGGTGTTTATCATATTGAATTGAAAAGCACTTTGAGGTAGGCAATGTGAGAGCATTGCTAACTACCACCAGCACTGCTTCTGAACGTGGCTACCCCACGTCACACTAACAGATCGCACCCTTCCAGAGCTTGAACAGCCACAGTTACAATGACAGACATTAGCACTGGGGGGGATGGATGACACTCAGGATCTTTTCATGGATCCTCTCCATTAAACTCTAAACCCACTTTGCTAATCTCACTCCTTAGCAATTCTGGGGGAATCATTTAAGCATGATTAGGGGGATGCAGAGGAAGAAAGTATCTATGTGTTCACTAGCACAACTATTTCAGTGGAATCTAACCATTGGACAGGTTGTTCTTACCTTAAAAATATTTTTAAATTCCCTCTCATTTGAATATTCATGCACATATACCTATTTATTTATTTATTTATTTTCAAAGTAACTTGTGCAGCACAACTGTACAGTTCAGTTCCTCTCCTTTGACTATGGATGACCTTAGAGTTTAGACTGGAAGCCTAATTTTTAGACAGCTTAAATCAGGTAAGATGAGACTCACCCTTGTCTTTACTTCTTCATTTGTTTCAGCCTCTTCATTTTTTGCACTCTTTGAGACTATTTAGAATTAGAAAATTGAGGCAAGAAGATTCACAGCACTGTAAAATGAAAAGCCACCCCTAGGGTGCACAACTTCTTTACGCATCTCTTTTCATGTCCCAGTGGAAATTCTTTAGTCCAGACTTGACCAGTGACAATACTTGGTTTTACTTCATGAAACATTTGACATAAAGTTAACCCCTTTTTTATAAAGACTGCCAGTACAGTTCCCTTAACGTTTATTTTGCCAATCACTTTCATAATCACTGATCCATAATGAGATTTGTTGCATTGTTGGAAATATTAGAACTGGGTCAATTTCAGAGTTAGGCACAAGTGGATTTTTCTTCAGCAACTCTTAGCAATTTCTTAGAAATTAAACATGATTTTGCTTTTCTTTTTTAAATTTGAAATTTTCACCTAGCTTCAAACCAAACAAACTGCACAATTTCTAGCTCAATAGATGAAGTTCCATCAAGAAGAAATCTCAATTTCTGTGCTGTCTGAAATGGCGTAACAAAATAACAGAGTTCCAAATGCCCAGCGATACTGCATTATCTTACAAGAAGAAACATGTGCATGATACAGCAAATAAGTCTCAGTTCCTAATATGTGGCTAATTCTTGTCAACTAAAGGAAAAACTATGGCAGGCCTTACCAGTGTGGCTTCGTTTGTGAACCATGAGCACATTGGGACCGATGCAAATTATCCCACAGATATCACATTTTAGCTTTCCGTTAGGAAGTCGAATGCCTCCAACTCCTGACATAGCCTTGCTGCCTGGGCCATTGTGTGAGCCATTCATTTTCTCTCCCGAGGTATCAAGCATTCGTAAATCCTCTGCACATTCTTCCCCATTCATTTCACAGGCACGCCCATTCTCTTCATCACTCTGAGTCTCTATTTTAATATTACCGGCTGAAAAAAACAATACAGGATGCCACTCAGTTTTGTTACAGAATAAATATGGTGGCAAAGAAACAATCACATCAAAGGAGATAACTTCTAAACAGCATGTACAACATACCTAAATTACAAAAGCTACAAACAATGCTACATTTCTATGGGCAATGTGATAAATTTGTAACACATGGAGCAATGAACAGTGAATATCAGTAAGACAAATACAAGGCATCCAGGGAGCTGGGAAACCAAACATTACAAGTCTGTTCCTAGGTGTCTTTAAGATTTTTGCATTTGTAATGTTCATTTTGACAATTCAGGCTAATTGGAATGAAACTTAAAATGAATCCACTTCACATGGATTTGCCCAAAACAATTGTGAAAGCAAGTAACTAACCAAAGACAATGGATGAAAATGAACTGAAAATGCAACATTCTCCAATTGGCAGGAAGATCCCAAATCCAAATATTTGGTTTGCAGTTATATGGAGTAAGCCAGGACAACGGGAAAGCAAAGAGTACAAACATTGATAAAGCAACGAGGGCGGGGAAGGATAGAAGGAAGAATTTAAGAGCAAGAACTAGCATTACAGAAAATTATAGGAGTGATAATTGTGTTTTTAGGACAGTAGGATTAGGATCGCTGAGTAACACGAGGGGATCTCTACAGCCATGAGCTACTATTAAAACCAGTCAAATCAACAAAGGTCGGTGGGAGAACTGTTTTGACTTTATGGGATAAGTCCTCTGTGTTATAATCCCATAGGTGACAATCACTAGCAGCTAGAAGAAGAATTCGGGTATAAATTTGGCATAGTCACACTACATGTGATAACACATAGGTTAGTAAATTTGATCTGATATGAACACAGTAAACCTAAACGTTATGGAAAAGGGCAAAGATTCAGATCAGTTAATGCCAGTATTCATTCTTCTTCTCTCCACAGGACTGTATGATGTTTTGTGTAGAATAAATAATCTTTACAGTTATTTCCCTCTTGTTTAATCTGATGATTTTGGTGAAAAAATAGTTCTTCATTAGGCTGAAAAGGACTATTTCATTGCCCCAAATCTTACTTTCCTTTCAGTGAAAAACCTCTTCCTTCACCTCATCCCACCCCAAAAAGGACAGCTTTTACTTTAGTGGCCAGCTGAGTACATGAGGTGTCTGTTTCACCCAATAAAGACCATGTCTTTTCCTTTTGTGGAACAGTAGTTTCATGGTAGCCTTGTTCATAAGTGGTGGTGTCGCAATGATATAATTAAGCTATGGGCAATAATCACCTCAAGAGATGAACAATATTGACATTCATTTGAAAATGAAGGTTTGACAAACACTTCTCTGCTACACCCTGCAATGTCCCAGGTGTCCCAGGCGGATTGCATGGATGTGACTGACAAGAGCATCTGACTGAAAACCCTACTGGGAAACACGTTGAGCTTAAAGGTGTTCACATTTCTGAACATTGCTTGACTGGACACCTTTTATAAAGTCTACCAATCTAGGCATTTAACGATTCTTCAAATATTTAATTTTTAATAGAAATAATATGCAAGACAGAATGAGTGCACACCATAAATAGCAGTTTTTCCTTTAAAATGCATGCCTCCAAAAGGGGAATAATTTAGAGATATTAAAAAAAAAATAATCAGTGACCAAACAGTGATTTACAAAGATGGTATGACTGGCTAAACAGCAGTGAGCTACTATTCTGCAAATTTAGTGGACTACAACTCTGTACTGCTGTTTTCACCAAGGCAAACGGAAGCAATAGAACTATTTGGCTTTAGTAAATGACAGATTTCCCACAATTCACACACCATTTTTTTTGTTAATTATAAGAATAATAATTTGAATGTAAATATATTTATACAAAACAATTACAGGCTCCTTGCCTGCCAGGGATTTGGAGAAGGTGGCTTTTGAAGCAGGCTGTATGTTAAGTTAAAACAAAATACATGTGAACAAAGAGAAAAGAGCAGACTACTTAAGTTCTTTGGTAGTTTATACAGACAAACGTACATTACTGAGAAATGAAATGACATAAACAAAAATCATAAAAGTAGGAACTAGACGGAAATGCTCTGTAGTGAGCTGAGTTTGCAGTATACTTACGGGAAAAAGATTTGGGAATTATTGCATGAAAGTCCCTAAAGCCTTCTGCCCCGTATGCAGCTGCAATAAAGAAGGCAAACAGGATGCTGGTTTGTGGTACTGCTAGCAGTAAACGTAAAAGAAGATGGCATTATTGGTATAAGAGAAATACCTAGGAGAAAGACAGAACTATCATCACAGAAGCAACACAAACAGTTTAGGATGAAGCAGGAACAGCAGCACAACAGTTGGCAGGGGAATCCCGACCTGCCCAGAACAATTCCCATTTGTAAAAATGCCCTTTTCTTCCAAAGCATCCAACAAGTTTTATCATGTTTTCTAAATGCATAACCTCTCTTGGGTATTCCCCTTGCTTACAGGTTAACTCTTACTGAAGTCAAGAGGAACTTTTGCTAAAGTGTCTCAAAAGGGTCAATGGGAGCAGAGCACCTAACACAGCCTTCTCCTGCTCCCAGGGAAACTGCAGGCTCCTACAGTGCAAGCTTCCTCTCAGGATTTATTTTTTTTGCCAACATGCCCTCTTTGTGTGCCAGAGATCTCTTCTTTATAAGTCCTTGTTTCTAGTCACTGGAGTTATAAAAAGTGAAATTGCATTGTTTTCTTCTCATGCCTGCTGGTTGTATGCAATGCAAGAAGAGGGAGTTCAATTACATACATATATTGTGTATATTGGCATATTTTTTTGTTTGTATTTCTAAGACTTGTCGTCACAATGTATCTACACAAAAGTAGCTGCACAAACACACTATATGCTGCATATTATGAGTAGCTGTGTGCAAATTAACATGCCATGGGGCGCACTGATACAAGTAATGATGGAGTTCATTACTTGGCATGAGCAATGATAGGGATATTGATCCAGTCAATCTTCACTAAAGCTCTCTGCAGCTATGCCCCTGGACTGCTGTAGCTGCGCTGCTCAACGAAAGTCCCCAGACAGATGAGGCCGAGCATCCCGAAGGCCCTCATCAGCCCACCCTTTTGGCAGTGCAGCTCACAGCAGGGGCTCGGTTCAGGTGCAGAGCTCACTTTGCCAGTGAGGGATGATGGACAGCGAGGCCACCCACCTCACCCTGGCTACTCACGGAGATTTTGTAGGTCTAATTAACAAACAAAATCTCTTCATATTCAAACTTAGCACTTTTTGCAAACCTGTTTTCCAAATCAAAATTAGTGAAAAAAGCCCCACTGATGTAGACACACAACAGGAAAGAGAAATCACTCCATATAAATACGAAGGATTTTTATTAAATCTGAATGAGAAATGGGAAGGCAGGCTATACAATATTTTTTTTTTCTCTGGAAACTTAGACTGCAAATAAAAATCAACAGTGTTTTCTATTTCTTTTGTGAGAGACGTTCCTGTCCTTCTCTTGCTGTACTGGGGAAGTCACTCTTGGAGCACTGATGATGTGACAAATACCTGGGAAACAGACTTTTCAGATGCACTGATCAAGAACATACTCAGCATTTGTACAGGTTTCTCAAACTGTAACTTGATATCATCTTTGTAGAAATAATTTCTGTGCACATCCATGTCTATGTACACATACGTGCAGGCATTAATTAGCTCTACAATAATTCATGGTAATAATTTCTCATTGGCTCTTCTAACACTATTAAGACAGTATTCATTAATTTACTTCAGCTTGTTTGGAGATGACCTTAAAAGGCTCTGTATTTTACTTAGTACACATTATTGCAATTCAGAGGAGTTTAACCCAAACCCTTGTTTTTTTGTGCAGGGAGTGTGGCGTGCCCCAGTGTCACTGAACCGACAGCTCTCTCCCACTCCCTTTTTACCTTCCCAGAGTGTGGAAAAGTTACCCAAAAGCAGGGCACTGGGTGGGTTTCTTGTGCTCTCTGATGTTTACTGGGAGCTTCACTCAGGATTTTCTAAAGTGCATTTGAAATTTATGTTACAAAGACCATTCTGTATTCTATGGTTAAAGGTGGTTTATGCAAATCTTTGGAAAAAAAAAAAAAGAATTGACATGTCAAAGGAGAAAGAGGTGATGAAGGTGATGATATGATTTACCACTGAAGAGCAGTGTAGCTGGCTTAGCACGAGACTCAGGCTGGGACAGTCGGGAAGGCAGGATGGAGGGCAAGGAGACAGAGTCACGCTTCCCTGGAAAGAGTCGAGCAACGTGGAGAGGGAAGGGAGGCATTCTGCAATGAGTGGGAAAGGTGGTAGCGGGGAGAAAAAGGAGAAACCAAACAGACCTCCTGGGAAACAGGACGTGGAGGATGGCTTTTAAAGGACAGAGAAATAGGCAGCTGGAAAAAAAGGCATGTGAAGAATTAGTAATTTGTTTTCAATCCATTGCCAATTTACCTTCTCTTATAGCTGTGGGACTCCCTCCCAGATGTAAAATCCTTTCAGTTTTGTGAGACTTTGGCATGAGCACAGGTTTAAGTACCTAGGCCAAAATCCCATTCAGAAGGGCACATTCACCTCCCAAGTCATATTCTTCTCCAGTGGGATTTTTAAAGAAGAAAAAAGCATAAGACTTGTCTCTCAAAGGAATTTAGAGAGTAACAGAGAAAGATAAATCACACTGAAGCTTCTGGGGCATTGTAACAATAGAGTTCCCCAAGTCCCTTCAATTTTTAATGGGATTTGAGCATTTTTAGACCTTTTATCCCAGTAGGTACTTAACTGCATCTTGTGGCATATGCCTGCCTTTAAGAAGTTATCCTTTATCCTTTCTTTGAAAATAACCACGATAATCTGATTTTTGGTCCATGCAATGTCTTGCTCGTACTTTGCAACCAACAGCAAAGAAAAAAGACCTCTCTTCAAGTTGTATCAAATAATTTGGGTGCATGTAATTTTTTGTTTCAATAGCTCATTTGTTATTCCAAGGCAACTCAGAAGTATTTTGTTGATGTTACT